GTTTCCATTTTTAAATGTCCGCTAGTTCGGGCTCCGTGCCCGCGGCTACACGCGGCACGGACTAGGTAGTTCGGATTAGACTTCCTATTCCGAACTACCGGTACACCTCGTTCCACGAGGAGTAACGGTAGTTCGGAATAGGAAGCCTAATCCAAACTACCTAGTCTGTGCCGCGTGTAGCCGCGGGCACGGAGTCCGAACTAGCGGGGCTTTAAAAATGGCAGCGCCCGGCAAGATGCAAATGAAGCCCGGGAAATTCAAATCCCGGGCTTCATTTGCAACTTTGGTTGCCTACATTAACCACCCTAGTTCGAATTAGGGTGGTAGTGTAGACATACCCTCAGAGACTAACAGATATATAAGATTATGAGCTTTCATGGGTAAAACTCACTTCATCTGATGAGTTGGAGTGGAAAATACAGAATCCAAGGTACGTGCCAGTTTTCCACCTGATAACTTGTTGACTCAACACCAGAGACAGGTTTTTATTCATTCTTCTTTGTCCCTGTGTTTCATTTTCCTAGGTCCATCTGACAGTTTCTCTGGATATAGAAAAGGTCCTGAATGCAGTCATCTTCAGAAAGAAGAAGTCAGCGTTGCTTATAGGTGTGCAGAGGCTGCGTAGCGTCATGCTCCGGTTGCACTTGCCTAGTTCCAAGACTGTTTAAAGTCGACAGGGAGCATGCTGGGAGCAGGGCTGTCCTTAGCATGTATGAGGCCCTACACATTACTATTAATCTGGTGCCTCTATGCCCAAATGACGACAGTTAGGGAGGAGGGGATGATTTTTTTAGAGATGTGATTTTATAGTCTTGAGCAACACACTAATGAATATTTTTAAAACAAATTTTAAACTACTGTTGAGTAACTCAGTAAATTTAAAAACTGACAGGGGTTGGCAAATGGTTTCATTACCACTTGAATGGCTTTCACAGGTTCTGCTATTAGGCCTGGAAGGATTTTTCACTTTTAACTAGATCCTTTCCCAAGGAAGCAGAGCCGTAGAACAGGGATAGGAAGAGGCAAGTGGGTGGACAGTAAGACCCAGTCATGCCCCAAATTTCCAGGTGTCCCACAGCTGTATATTCTGCCTATGGTTAAGGATGGCTCTGGTTGGGAGAGCTGTTGGAAGTACAGTGGTGCCCCAAATTTCCAGGTGCCCCACAGCTGTATATTCTGCCTATGGCTAAGGATGGCTCTGGTTGGGAGGGCCATTGCAAGGCAAAAATATCACAAACCAAAGTGACTGACATTGGAGGTGAATGTACAGGTGGGAGCTTGGGATCTTTGGTACGTTTACCTTTGTCCACTTCAGATTTGGGGTACTTGGGGCAAAGGTAAAATGAGTTTGGTGGTGGATATTTTTTCATTTTTTAAAACCACCAGAGTTGGGTAGCAGGGCTTCAAACTGAGCAAGAGCTGGAAAAATAAGGGAGGTGGTACTGCAGGGCAGCATGTGTGGGGATTTAGCTTGGTGGTATTCATGCCTGCAGATACTAGCCTGTGCAGTCTCCTTACAATGGGCCCTGAAAATAAATCCATCCAACTTTTCCTTTTCTCCTCTCCCAGGCTTTTCTGTGGGCATTCATGTGCAGGGTCACGTTCCATGGTACTGAATGATTTTGATATCTGTGAGGTTGGGGTGAGGGAGGGAAATGTTATGTTGTAATAACAAACAGTTGTGTGTGCAGTCAGTATCCTTCAGTTCCTACGAGCCATCCTCAGACAGGACTTCTCTTCCTCCTTGCTGCTGCTCATAGTGCCTCCCACAGCACAAAACAGAATGGAGCCTGATGCCTCCTTGTATCCACTGGCCACATGGCAGGTGCTCTCGCTTGTTGTGAGTCTGCAGAACCTTTTGGTCCAGGTACATTTACAGACATAAATAAACATAGCTTAATCTGAGGGAAACACACCTCAGATGGCATGTCCCACAGAAACTTCTCCCCTTCTTCATCCCCTACAGAATGATAGAAATTTAATCTATAAGAAAGCATTAAACCACATTCTCCCATCACAACCAGTGACAAGGCTGTTACATACAGTATACATCTACCAGGACTTTGCTCTGTTCAGCAGTGTGGGGCTTTCACCATTTCCCTTGAGATACCGTTCCTCAGTCTGAACCAAAGTCTGGCTTCTTTTGACTTAATGGGGGTTGCCCTGGTGTTACTGAGTATAAAGCTGGCTTTGTAAATGCATTGTACATTGCTAGCCTTGAGAGTGATGAAAAGTGTAATTTGCCTGAACTGTACCTTCTGCATCTTGAATTTTCCTCTTTTAACAACTGTCACTCATTCAGCAACCTTTTCTCTGTGTTTTCAGAAAGACCTATTGCTGTCTCAGACTGTTGTTGCCTGCCTGGAGGTTTTGTTGGAATACCTGCATAGGAAGAACCAGGCCATCGGTAAACCTGCCCAGTCCTTGCTCCTTTGGGGCTCAGTTCTACTGAGCATTCTGACCCTGATCCAACAAGCAAATGGCTGAAGTCATGCCCTGTGGCTATAGTAGTGTTGAAATTAAAGGGACTAATGCATAAAGTTAATCATGTGCTGCAGTGCATTGTTGGATTGAAGCTAGAACTAGGAATGTTTAAAAGCGCGTAATTGTGTATCTGTGTACCTGCTGAAAAACTCAGTGGTTAAACACATATCTGTGTACCTGCTGAAAAACTCAGTGGTTATACGCAGCGGCAGCCAACTCCCGGGGAGCTGGTGTATGCCAGAAGGTGGCTTTTAAGCCGGCTCCTGGGGTACACCGGCTACCGCCCTGCACTGCAACTTCTGTGTCAGGCAGCAGCACCCAGGAGCAGGACTGGAGCCCTGCATATAACTGTGAATACTACCCAATAAGCCCCTCCCCCCAATACATTGCCTGTACTGTTTGAATTAGCTATGAGCTCAAGTCCTTGGTGTGAGGCTCTAAGCTAGAAAGTGGTTGAAGAAGATGCTTTGAGTTCTTCACTGATTAAACCTCCTCTGATGAAGGGATATAATACAAATAATTCTGTCTCCTGCTGCTTGGTGTTGTGCAGGCAGAAGCAGGACTTTGGGATGATACGAAGGAGAGCTCTTAGCTAGGAGCATCTGGCACCTGCAGTTTTTAAAACCACCTATGTTGTGTTTCTTTCCTTCCTTCATCCAGAAATTCTCAGGCTGATGACTTTGGTGAGCAGGGGAGTGATAGATAGTTCTGTGAATTGATTGTATATTCATACCGTGCAGGTGTGTGAGTCACCAGGTGGCAAATCATATGTTTATCTCTGAAAACACTCACACTTCCATTGATTTCAGTCTGTAATTATATTCTTGGCCCATAACATCATCAAATCCTTCCTTCATCCAGAAATTCTCAGGCTGATGACTTTGGTGAGCAGGGGAGGAATAGATAGTTCTGTGAATTGATTGTATATTCATTCCGTGCAGGTGTGTAAGTCACCAGATGGCAAATCATATGTTTCTCTCTGAAAACACTCACACTTCCATTGATTTCAGTCTGTAATTATATTCTTGGCCCATAACATCATCAAACTAATGTTCTTGACATGCAGAAGGGAAGTCCCTTTTGACCTTTAGGTTGCTACACTCTGTTCTTCTGTGTAACGTTTCTATGATACACGGGGGCAGGGAGAGAAAAGGGGCCCATGAAACATGTTGTTTTCTTTGCTTTAGTGCATTCTTGAAGCACTGGCCACAAATGTCAAATATGTTTGAAGATACTGTTGCAAGAAAGCTGATAGCAGTTAACGACCTAAGGCTCTCTGCCATTCCCTAGCTGAGGTCTTGCCTACAAGAGAAAGTTGCACAAGTTTCATTTGTTTAATCTGAATTAGTTGAACCAGTGCAAACTCCTGTGTGGATACTTTTACTTCAGTTTAAGAATGACTTACTTTGGTTTGGCCTCAGCTGATTCTTAGCTAATTAAAGCTAAAGTGATTTAAGTCCAATTTAAGCCCATAAGATCATATGTAAAGCATGAAAAATGGGGGTGAGGGGTATTAAGTGCCTGCATAAGAAAAAGCCCTAAATAATCAGGACTGTACCTGTAAAATCAGGACAGCTGGTCACCCTAGGCTAGGCACAGCTTTCTTGTGTATCTCTAGGTGAGTCACTGCTGGAAGTGTGACTTTATTTAACATGTCTTTTTTTCTATTGGTGAAGTTTGTTAGATATCGGAGTATTGATATTATTTCTCAAAGTGAAATTAGCCAGATACTCCATGAGGCAGCAAAAGCCAAGTTAGCAGAGCTTCCTGGTACGACATCCCATGCTCTACGCCTCTTTCTGCGTCAGGTAAGAATGCTTGCAGGGTCCAGGAGGAAAAGGGAAACAAATGGGGGTCTGGGCATGTAGGAAGAGCTTATAAGAGGATCCTGCAAACTCTCACTTCTGTTGTTGCTATGAGACTTCGGAAACGCTTCAGGTTTTGTGAGGTAGAAGATAGTGGGGTGGGGAGAGCCTGCAGATGATCAGCTTGGTGGCTGGTGCAGTCAGAGAGGTACTGTGAAACAGAAAAGCAGAATGATTCAAGCAGTGACCTCGTATTGTTTGTGCAGCTTTGTCACTCTGCCTAATGAATCTCACCCTTTTGTAAAAAGAGTATGAGGGTTTCATTACCATGGATGGGGAGTGTGGGGTGGGGGGGTGGAGATGTGAAGGAACCTGTCAGTTGCCCTTCGGTCTGGAAATCATCCCTTTCCTCTGGTATTCAGCTCCAGAGTGGGAGTTATCAGATGGAGCCAGCCCAGGAAGAGATGATTCACACCTTGCTGGAGAGCCTCCCCGCAAGGACCAGGGCCCCTCTAAGCCACCAGGACATGGTGTATCCTTTTGCAAGAAGCTCATCCTTGGTAAAGGACATTGCTAAACAAGGTACAGCAGTTGGACTGGGGAAGTAGTTCACCTGTTGATCCAGGCCATCTTCCAGCCAACACTGAATGAGAGTGAGAATGTGTTCCGTACATTTCCTCTTGGTGCGGATGCCAAGACTGTCATGCCAAAAACTGGACTTGGGCATCGTGTGGTGGAAGAAATCCTGAAAAGGGTTAATGATCCCAGCCCCTCGCTACCTGAGCTGGGAACACTGTGGTGGGATGATGTTTGTCCATCTGACAGACACTGCTTGAGGAGAAAGCATGGGACTGGGAGCCTAGGACATCTGATCCTGCCCGTCACTGACTCCTACCAAGGTCAAGCTAGTCACTTAATCGCTCTGTCTGCCTCCATTTTTTCCATCTGCTAACTGGGGCTGCTACTCATTTTCCTTCCTCACAGGAGGTGAAATTAAGATAACAGGTTCTTGTAAAAATAGTATACAAGAACCTAAAGACAGGACTTTGCAGCACTTTACAGACTAACAGGATGGTTTATTAGGTGATAAGCTTTGTTGGCCAGACCCACTTCCCACGAAAGCTCATTGCCTAATAAACCATCCTGTTAGTCTTTAAAGTGCTGCATAGTCCTGTCTTTAGGTTCTTGTAAAGCACTTTGGAAATGAGCAAGTGTTATGCAAGAACTAGGTAGTATTCTTAGCCCTTTTTAAAAGGCCAGGCATGTCTTGTGGCATTGTCCAGCATCTCTCCCATAGGGCCGGAGCTAGAAGCAGAGTTGATGGGCGTGGGCACTGCTAGCAATTGTAACGAGCTCATCTCAACCAGAAGGGTCATTTGACCCAAAGTTGGCTTGCTGGAGTGGGAGAGGGAATTGGGAAATAAATGATGGAGCCTAGAGTATATGCCTGACTAAGTGGCTGCTTATCTCTAAAATTAGCTGCTTTAGCCTGCCTGGCTTCTTCTCGCTGCATTGTCCTTCTTCTCGCTGCTAATGCCCTAGATGCGGTCTCTGGGACTGTTTTCATTAGGGGACTCAGTCCAAAGTGCTGGTGAAGCTAATGATGTCCCCAGCCACCTATAGTGCAGTGAATGTGAGGTCTCTGTTGCTTTTGACTGTCACATGCAAGTCACACCTCAAGGATCCGTCCCCATTGGGTTCTGACACCATTCTCAAGATTCCTGGGAGAGTGATTCCATCGTTGTCCCATGTTGGGAGCCAACGTTTGCTCCAGAATAGAAATTCTCAACCTTCAAGTATTGATCCCGTCCTCCATTAAGTTCCCTGCAATTTGTTTGTTATGGATGTAGAGAGGGCAGAGGCCTGAACCCATCTGCCTTATTCCTTGCCTCTGGCCTTTTGCAAATGGTTTTCTTGTGCTAGCAGAGTTCCCATAAATCCATCCAATGTGGGGGGAGGGGAGAGGGGATTGGTGTGTGTGGGTTTTTGGGGTTTTTTTTTTAAACAAAGGATTCCAGATGCATCTGGACAGGAATGGTGATGACTGAATGTGAGTGTCACTGTAAGTGGAAAGCTGGGTTTTTAAGTTTAACATTGTATTGAAGGTCATTTCCCCTCCCTTCACCCAGAACCCAGTTATAGGGAATGGGCACTTGTTGTAGTTTTTCACCCAGAACCCAGTTATAGGGAATGGGCATTTGTAGTTTCTCAGCAAGATGACCTGGCACTGCCCAAATAGGAAATTACACTGGCAAGTTGGATTTTCCTGGTTTGTCCTTCCCTTCGATTTTCCATTCATGCCACTAATGTCAGATGCCTGGGACGAGTGGCAGTGTCTGTCTCACACATTGCAGACTGAGACAAGAGGATGGAGCACAGGGAGCAGAGAAATAAGAATTAGAGAGGAACAATAATAGAAGTAAAAATGCACGGCTACATTTCTATCAATAATAGAAGTGGTTGGTAGTTTGTTTTCAAAAGTTGTTGAAAAGTAATCACAAAATAAAATCTTTCAGTCCCTCTTTTCTGTCCATTTGTTGGAAATGGCCTGGGCGAAACCTGCCATTTAGTTCAGGCTTGCATTCAGTGGAAGCTTGCATCACAGGTAGCACTTCCCAGGGAGTGGGGACAGTGTCTCAGCCTGTAGCAGTAGTTAGAACAAATTAAGCAGAAGGGGGAGCTCTCACCACACTAACCAACAAGGAGAATGTATGTTGCTTACCCAAGGGCATAGCAGTTCCTAGACTAGGGAAGGGAAATAATTTTTGATGGTGGCCACTCCAAGAATTTGCTAAGTGGTCAAGGGCCACACTCTTCTATGATCTTAATGGAGGAGGCACAGGGTTTGGGATGGAAGTTGGATGCAGAATGGAGCATAAGTTAGGGGTTTGGTGTGCAGGAGGAAGTGTGGGGTCTGGAAAGGAATTTGAGTGAGGAGGGGGGCTTGTGACCTGGGACATGGGATTGGGGTCTGAGAGGGGGTGCAGAGTCTGGAAGGGAGTATGAATGCAGGAGAGGATTCTGACTTGGAGGAGGGGTGCAGAGTCTGGGAGAAATTTGTTACCTGAGGAAGGTGTGCAGAAGTTTTGGGCTGTGACCTGGCGTAGGGAATTGGGGTGTGGGACGGGGTGGGCTGCCAGGTGCAGGCTGTGGCTGAGAGGCACGCACTTATGCAGCTCCCAGCCAGCAGCCCAGTGGGACTCTCACGCAGGCTCCCTGGATGCCACACCCTCACATGCCACTCAAAGTAACCAGCTGTGGGGGCCAAGTGCATCTTTGCGCTACATGTCCCTGGGGGGAGGGAGTTGTGTGCTGCCTACACCATAAGCATGGCCCAGGCATCTCCCATGGACCAGTTTCTGGCCAGCAGCTGCAGTATGTGCGGAGTGCTTTGAGTGGTGAGCAGGGCAGGTAGGGAGCAGGGCAGAGGTTCCCGCTGGGCTGTGAGCCATATTTTGCCCATCCCTGTCCTAGAAGCTCCTCTCTTAAAGCAGAGATGGAGATCTGTACCACAAACAATTTCTTTGTCTTAAGTCTGCCTCTGCAGTCTCCTCCGGACCCCTTTTGGCCCAAAGTTGCTTTTGTGGAGCACTGAGAAATAAATGAGACAACCCAGAGTATATACCTAATTAAGTGGTTACCTCTCTCTAAAAGTAGCTGCTTTAGCCCACCTCAGCCAGCTAATGCCTCAGACCCTGTAGATACAAGGAAATAAATCCCGACGTGTCTAGTGTCTATATAAGAGTTGTTCTTCAGAAGCGTGGCAGCATCACAGTGGGTCATGCATCATAACTCTCTATCACAAGCCAGCTACTACTGCTAGCCACAGACAAAGCTTTTCTGATAATTGCTTGTTCTTGAAAGATCTCCGGTGGTTTGCCATCCATTTTCTTTCCCCTTTAACTGCCCTCACCTCAGCCTCAACATCCATCTTTCATAATTGCATCTGAAATCAGCTTTCTCTATCAACAAGATAACATTCAATAAAAACAAGTGCATAGTATTGCACTTAGAAAAGAAAAATCAAATTCACAGCTACAAAACTGGAAATAACTAGTGAGGTGACAGCACTGCTGAAAATAATCTTGAGGTTACAGTGGGTCACAATGTGATGCAGTTGTGAAAAGACAGTTATTTAGGGTTACCATATGTGAGTAGGCTTTTTGGGCCCTCTGTCCCATAAAAAAATTCAGAAAATACCGGACATGTGCAATGTCTGGTATTTTCTGGTTTTCCGGCTCGGTGCCCGACAGAAGCCTGACGGGGGTGGGGGGAGTGGCTGGGAGGTGGGGCGCGATCAGTGCTGGGACCCTCTGGTTGTGTCTGACATAGGAGTGATGCTTTGGGGAGGAGGAGAAGCCCTGTCCATGCTCCTGAACGCTGTTCAAGCACGTTGTGGAGCCGTAGCCGGCCTCCTTGTGCTTCACCAGGACTGTGCATGGGACGGGCAGCATCCTGGGATCTGCATGTGCCGGGGGCAGTCCTACTCCCTGCCAGCCAATTCTCTCTCCCCCTCCTTATCAGCTCCCCCCCCGCCCATCAAGTGTGTCCGGTATTTTTTTCTGAAGCTACCTGGTAACCCTATATGTGAACTTTCAAAAAAGAGGACACTCCTGAGGGGGCGTGTGTCATATTAATGCAACATGAAGTGGTAGATACAGATACATTTCCTCTCAGGAGTGTCCTCTTTTTTGAAAGTTCACATATGGTAACCCTAACAGTTATTATTCCTGGGGTGTTTTAACAGGAATGTTGTAAGTGAAACACTGGAAGTAATTACCCTGCTTCACACACTGGTTCTGAGGCCTCACCTGGAGAATTGTGGCTGAGTCTGGGCATCATGCTCTAGGAAAGATGTGGATAAACGGGAGAGCACCAGAAGTAACAAAAGGTTTAGCAAACCTGCCCTGCAGCAAAAGGTTGATAAAATGGCCATGTTTCGCTCTGTGGAAGGCAACTGAGAAGGAACCTGGTCAGTCTTCAAATATCTGAAGGGCTGCTCCAGAGGACCATGACCCCCTGCTCTGCATGTGCCCGCAGGTAGGACAAGAAGCGGGGCTAGCTGTAGATATTAGGAAAAACTCCCAGGAGAACTAAGCTCTGGCCTAGGCTCCCAAAGGAGGTCGAAGGCGTTTAAGCACAGGTGGGAGAAACCTCTCGGGGGCTGGGCTGGGCTGGGTCGGGTGG